TTTTCCCCCCCTTATGAACAACAACATTTAGTACATGATAAAAGCTCCTTGTGGTGTCTCAGTTTGAGCAATTTGAGCAATTATAAACGATGCAAAACATACGCATTTTGAGTTTGTGATAGTGGTTCCTATGTAGAAAATGACTTCCTGCCCTCCATCTGCATTTCGCGCCACAGCAACACAGTTACGTGACGTCATGTGCAAACAAGCTATTCATCGATGTGACTATCCCACAATAGAAATAATGGGGTGTGCCTAACGGTAAAGTCTCCGCCCTCTATTACAGAGAAGCTCTGTCTGTGTCGCAAGAGAGAAATACTTCCTTATAGTAAAAAAGGACATACAGACGGCTTAAAAAGATGACTAAGTAATGGAGTGATTTTGTGTTCTTCATTGTTACATAAGGCCTAAAAATATATTAAAATCCTACATAAAGGCGTATTAGAGAAGTGAAAGTCGAGAAGAAACTATGCTTCCTTCTGTGACTCGATGATTCAAAAAAAGAAGAAGAAAAAAAAAACCCTGACATGTGGAATGTCAGGGAAAAACTGACTGTAGAGCTCAACAGGAAGACAGTCAGCAGAGTTTTATGCCACCTTTATGAATGCATTCCCATGGGAATTTTATAGGTGATCCTTGAGCAAACAAGTAAGAGTTCCTTTATACAGCGAGACGCTCGTCTTACACAATAACTGCTTAGATTGTGGTCACATGCTACAGATTCTACAAAAGGAGATGAATTCAAGCAGTCAGAGAATGTGACCAACTGCCTTTCATGAGATTAAAATGGCATTTACTATAATTCTTGTCAGCCAAATAAGTGGTCTAGCAAAGAGGGATTACAACTGTGCTGACCCATTTTATGGAAAGCAAACACAGCATGGGTTCTAACGAACTCTATCATAAAATATCAAAAGACATACTCATTTAAGCTTAGTCTTTGATTAAATATAAATTAAAATGAACTTTTGTAATAAACTTGATTTAAAAAGTTTACTCTTATTTTCTTTCCCAAAACCATAGCTGATAGACCACATTTAACAACTAGGTTAGTTGTATGTAACCTTTACTTATTAAACTTCAACTGTTCTTTACTTTTATGTGGCTTTCAAAGTATAAACAATTATAATCGGAAAAGACTGGCTTTGTTTGTTGATAAACCAATCTGGTTTAGATAAGATAAGGTCTACACAATGCAAATGACAGCTATAAGGTGCTACTAATCGCATGGTAAAGATATGAGTACAAATAACGGTTATATTAATATTCAAGAATATGACATTTATATAATGTTTTTTTCTGGATTTTTTGGTTGATATTCTGTCTCTATCTATTAAAATAAACCTACCATAAAAATCACAGACCCTTAATTTCTTTGTAAGTGGGCAAACTTACAAAATCAGCAGGGGATCAAATAAATATTTTCCCCACTGTATATGTATGGTATATGTCTTGCGTGCAAACCTCTTACAGCATGAATTACAAAAAATTATAAAATCTAAGGTTATAAAAAACTACTCCCACTGAGTGACAGCTTAGTTTAGTCTAAGTTTACAACCTTGTTATTCTCATTCTCAACTCATTCTTGCAAAAATTACATAAAAAATAATACATTTGATTGGCATTGAACATTTACTCAAGCATCTCCTTTCAATGAAAATGTATAGAAAATGCAAGAAAAAAGGCCCCATTTTGTACCCTGTTTAAAGTTTTTTTTTTTTTTGCTTGGTTTGCTTATCAGTAACTGTCAACAAATAACATACTCTTACTAAAAAGTGATAAAACTCAGTTTATTTATTTTAAAAAGCTCTTACGGAGAAAAAACCTTTAATGAGACATACTCTGTCTCATGTGACTATATTGCATCTTCAGGGCCGTTTTCAATGAAGTGTCCTGCAGATATAAACATGCCCCATATCTCTTATGGGCGGGGCTTGCGGAAAAACAGTGACATTTGAAACATGTAAAACCTAAGTAAACGGATATGGTTAGTTTAATACATCCATAATGATAACACTCAAGGTTCATTTACCATCAAAACATGATAAACTACTGCAGCTGCCCTGAAACAATCAATACAATGATCATTTACCGCCGTGTTTCATGTAAACATTCCATTTCACGCAAAACCCGGAAGTCATTCTGGAAGGCGTTTTCGCTGACAATAAACATACACATCGTGTGCATAATCATCAACCCAGTTATAAAGGACATTACAACAGCTGTAATAAACCCTAGTGGTGAAAATAGTGCACACATAGTCCAACAAAACGACCACTAACCAAAACAAGGTGGTGGGATTTTTACCATGAAGCAAATCAAAATAATAACAACAATAAAAAGTATAGCAAAAATGTACTAACCTTGACTGAGAACTAATTTGCTGGAGCATGCAGACAAGTTACATGCCCGAGCAGGTATCCAGCGCTGGCTTCTAAAATGCTTCAGCTGTCTGTGGATCTGCCGACCGAGAGGCGCTACGATCGCTGCCAGTGTCACCATGATGTTTTCCGTTTACTCTAAAAACATAAAAATGAATTATATTGGGCTCGGATTAAAACTCAAAGCTTGATTAATCATAGGCGTCACGCCACGGCATGTGAAATAGTGTCCTTTCGCGTGTGCTCTCGTGCCGAACTTGTCCCAACAACACCCAACTTGCTCTCGCGCGCTACTGATGAAGGTAAGGGCTAAGTTACTTAACAACACACACCAAACTCCGAATGGAGATCTAGATGTTTCCAGCTGTAACAGCTTTTGTTTATAGTCAAGACAGCAGGACGAAAATGACGTGCATGTGGACAGACAGGTTTAAATATCCCAGTAAAAGCGGATAAAATGGAGGATACGTCCACTTTGGGGTTCGTCGGGTGTCCAGCCTCAATCCAATCAGCTTCATCCACTGAGGGGCGTGCAGAGAAGGGCCGAGACAGAACACGCGGAGATGATGTCTATGGCTATGATGTCACATTCAAGACAGGGAATTTATTTACAAATCATTACCCATTCATATATTATATATAAACTGGGCAATAATGGTAACCATTATTGTGTAAATAAATAAACAAATGCGTTTTCTTACGTTTTCCGATTTTTTTTTGTATTGCGGAAAAACAGTGACATTTGAAACATGTAAAACCTAAGTAAACGGATATGGTTAGTTTAATACATCCATAATGATAACACTCAAGGTTCATTTACCATCAAAACATGATAAACTACTGCAGCTGCCCTGAAACAATCAATACAATGATCATTTACCGCCGTGTTTCATGTAAACATTCCATTTCACGCAAAACCCGGAAGTCATTCTGGAAGGCGTTTTCGCTGACAATAAACATACACATCGTGTGCATAATCATCAACCCAGTTATAAAGGACATTACAACAGCTGTAATAAACCCTAGTGGTGAAAATAGTGCACACATAGTCCAACAAAACGACCACTAACCAAAACAAGGTGGTGGGATTTTTACCATGAAGCAAATCAAAATAATAACAACAATAAAAAGTATAGCAAAAATGTACTAACCTTGACTGAGAACTAATTTGCTGGAGCATGCAGACAAGTTACATGCCCGAGCAGGTATCCAGCGCTGGCTTCTAAAATGCTTCAGCTGTCTGTGGATCTGCCGACCGAGAGGCGCTACGATCGCTGCCAGTGTCACCATGATGTTTTCCGTTTACTCTAAAAACATAAAAATGAATTATATCGGGCTCGGATTAAAACTCAAAGCTTGATTAATCGTAGGCGTCACGCCACGGCATGTGAAATAGTGTCCTTTCGCGTGTGCTCTCGTGCCGAACTTGTCCCAACAACACCCAACTTGCTCTCGCGCGCTACTGATGAAGGTAAGGGCTAAGTTACTTAACAACACACACCAAACTCCGAATGGAGATCTAGATGTTTCCAGCTGTAACAGCTTTTGTTTATAGTCAAGACAGCAGGACGAAAATGACGTGCATGTGGACAGACAGGTTTAAATATCCCAGTAAAAGCGGATAAAATGGAGGATACGTCCACTTTGGGGTTCGTCGGGTGTCCAGCCTCAATCCAATCAGCTTCATCCACTGAGGGACGTGCAGAGAAGGGCCGAGACAGAACACGCGGAGATGATGTCTATGGCTATGATGTCACATTCAATTTATTTACAAATCATTGCCCATTCATATATTATATATAAACTGGGCAATAATGGTAACCATTATTGTGTAAATAAATAAACAAATGCGTTTTCTTACGTTTTCCGATTTTTTTTAAAATTAATAATGGTGTTTTTAATTATTTGTAATCATCTGTCCCGGTACAGTTGGTCAAAAGCGTAATACAACTAATTTAGAGCTTAAACATAATTTGCATTTACAATAAATAATACTAAAATCATTTACATCACTCAGTTGAAAACAAACACGTCTTAATAAAACGCAACTTATCAGTGAGTTCGAACTGTCCGAAAGTGATTTCAGAACAAAGTGAACCGATTCGTGAACAAAAACCGGCACATAGTGCAATAAAGCACAGCAATTTGTGGTAGTGTACCCATAGTGGACACTACCGAGTGCACTCATTCAATCCCATAATGCATCTCAATACCCAAAGGCTAGGCCAAGGCCATTTACTGAGCGTGGAGACCTAGGGTAGAGACGCACACATTTGGTGCGTTTTTCATCGTTTGCGAAACGAAAATTGCTCCGAATGGACACGATGGCATTACTTGCTCGTCGTGTAAAATATATATATTTTTGCAAACATAGTATTTGCTCATATCACACAGGAAAACTGTATTTGTGTTTTCCTCATTTGTAAGTCGCTTTGAATAAAAGCGTCTGCTAAATGACTTAATGTAAACAAGTATCTTGACCAAATAAATGAACTGTTGGCAATTGGCCGCAAAATTTGCCACTGTAGACAATAACTTGCACCTTACTTGACCTGCCAACTAGAGGAAGGGTTAATGTGTCATGTAGCATCTTAGATGAACCCTTCTGACGACAAATACCACGTGAACGGTGGACTCTGACATCTTCGCGAGTAATAAGTGAAAACGGAATGTTCTTACGTCAAACATTCTAATGTAAACAACGTGCAATTAGGACATTGTGCCCTTTCAAGACCACGCTTTCATGGTAAATAAAGGTTAAATGAGATACTCTAGTTTATTCAGCTGCTCAATTTGGTCAGTAAATAAAGCATGGGCTCATTTATACCGCTTAAAGACTAAAAATATAAGAATGAGAGAACGGTGTAAATAGTTGTCTGAGTGTATTTTCTAAAAAAAAAAAAAAAAGTTGCAATATTTTTCATTGTAGTTATAAAGCAATGCAACAGAAGACATACAAACCATCATACTATTCATACAGTAATACAGTGTTACTGTAAAATTTGGTGATCAGAAATATTACAGAGGTTGGTAACAAAAACAACCTGCAATAAATATGGAATATGGTTTTCTAGATGAAAAAATGCATTGAAATATCGTGAGCACTTTTGTCAGCCTTTCTAAACCACTTCAAAATAGACACACTCACTGTAAAAAATACAAAGTTGAAAAGCATTTTATCCATCCGAGTAAAACCTAACCGAGTGCAGTTCATAACTCAGCCGTTTTCTGTTCCCAAAAAACAAAGAACAGAAGGAAAAGACGACATCCATTGAGCTTGAACCATATTGTACAGATATATTTACATGTTTGGTAAGAGAAACCGTACAAAAATTCAACTGGAGGAAAATCCTCTATTGTGGACGGGTGATATCTTGTCAATTTTGCTAGTCTAGAGCGATGATGTCTTCATCATCATCGGCTGGCTGCTGGTCGAGGCGTTTGCGCTTAGACGCAGTAGCATCCGTATCAGCATCATGATGCTTCCTCTTGCGGTTACTAGACTCCGGGGAAGCTTCCATGGTGCTCGAGGACGGTTCTTCATCTGAGTCTACGATAAGGACGTCATCGTCCTCTGCAGCTGCTGTAAATATGAGAAAAGTACATTACTCAAAAGCAGTGAAACTTTTTCGCCCGTGAAATACAAAAGATGATGTTTAGGCTGAATGTCCAAGCTGTACATATACAATTTTCAGGTGAAATATTCCCTTTAAAGACTGATGTTTTGCAGGCAATCCATGTTGTTCTTACCTTTAGATGAGGTAGATGGCTGGGCAGAATCTTTGTTACCATTGGCAATGTTCTTCCCTTCTTCCGGGACGCTTGGTGCAGGCGCCTTATCTGGGGCATCACCCACTACTTCAAACTCGACATCCTTTTCCAATTCCTCACTGCAATAAATGCAAGATACATTTTAATTAGGGATGCACCGATACTGGTCTCCTGTACTCGTACTTGTTAAAATGCCCCGATACCAAACGCCGATACCACACAGCATGTGATAAGCGCCATATTCAAACAAAGAAACACCAGATCCGTGATGTGACTGTCGTTCGGCACGCTGCATCGAGCAGCCGCGTTCAGTGTTTAATTGTAGTGTCTGTTCTTTTACTGAACTAAATGATTTTTATTACTATAAAAAATCTAAACGACGGTTGGGGTCGGTGACGCGGTGGGCAAGTGACGTAACCGGTGTTGCGGCTTAACACCGGTATCACCGTCTATCGCGGCAAGCCTAACACTGACCTGTGAATTAAATTGACCAGAAGAGTATAATCCTGTAGGAAGTCATCTGCTTGAAGACGGCTGCCGTTCCGAATCCCAAAGTCAGACAAAAATTTGTTATTGTTTGCTGTAGAGAAAGAGAGACAAAAACATTAAAGGAGACCTATTATGCAAAATTCACTTTTATAAGTTGTTTGAACACAGATGTGTATCCAGAGTGTCTAGCAGCAGCTCATTTGCATTTAAAGAGACACGCACGAAAACAGCATTTTTGCTCGCACCCAAAAAGAGTAATTTTGGGCATGGTATAATACATGATTTGTGGGGTAATTTGAGCCGAAACTTCAGACACATTCTGGGGACACCTGAGACTAAAGATTATCTTGTAAAAAGGGGCTTAATAGGTCCCCTTTAAAACAAAGCTCAGTTATGTAATGCCAAACCTGACAAAATTAGAAATTACCCTCATTACCCTACGGACAAAGAAATGTATAAATATATAAATTTGAAAATAAATGTAGAAATAAACAAATGAATAAATAAATGTGGAAATATATAAAAGTGCAAATAAATACATGTATAAATAAAAGAACAAATAAATAAATGTGGAAAAAAATATTTTCCTTTGTATATTTATTTATTTTCAAATTTATTTATTTATTTCTAATTTTGTCAGGTTTGGCATTCCATACAGAGTATGTTATAGTAGAGCACGATGCCCTCTAGAGGCTAACTTAATTGATACCTTCAGTCTCTCCTTCCTCTGAGGAGATGAGGATCGTTCCTTTTCCATCCTCAATTTGCACATCTGGTGCCACCATGCCAAACTTCTCCTTCAGTATCTGAAAAAGCAACACTATAAACGAAAAAGATTGGAGATCACACAAAGATAAAGGGTTTTGGATTGAAAAAAAATTGCTGGTACCTTGTCCTGAAGAGCTTGCACAATGGTCTTGTGCACATTAAGTTTGACTGTGACCTCAGGTTTGCTGGCACACACGTAACAGTTGGGATTGGGAGGGTCCAGCGCACATGGTACGAGAAGCTTTTTCCTGGGGTTCGGCTGCTTATTCAGGAAAATCTAAAAAAAAAAAAACAAGTATAAGACTATGGGCCTGTCCAAATACCCACACTTGCAGTCTTGGACACTTGAGAGCACGTGCACGCAACAAGTAGTAAGTGCGCAAGACTGTCTCAGGTCTTAAAAATGCCAAAGCGTAGTGCCCTTAACGCACACTAAATCCACACTATCCCAAATACCTCTCTGAAGCAGTAATCTAGGCTAAGCGTATCCCATCATGCATCATGTTCTGGAAATAAATCATGAGTTTTTGCCAAGATCTCACGGAAACCTTTCTGGTTTAAAATTAATTAGATATTACACTTAATTTGGTAGTAAAACAAAGCATCATGCATCATGTTCTGGAAATAAATCATGAGTTTTTGCCAAGATCTCACGGAAACCTTTCTGGTTTAAAATTAATTAGATATTACACTTAATTTGGTAGTAAAACAAAGTGTTGAACATTTTATTGATGCAAAGATGAGTTTGTATTCTGTACAACATTTGCAACTGCTTTTTATCACTTAATTAGAAGCACCACAATTACTAAACTGTGTAATATGTTATAGGGACAGAGATTTAGAATTTTATTTTAAATGCAACGTATTGAAAATCAAAATAAAGCTCTGTAAACACCTGCATTTTTATAACACTTATAAGTGTGTCCCCATTGGGTACTGAAAAGTTCAACACACACTTGTGGTCTTCATGCTCACTTGAACACTTCAGCCAATTACAGGAAATACATCACGCAAGCAGACAAATGCAAAGACCGCAAGTGTGAGTATTTGGACAAGCCCTATAACTCCTATAACTGCATTTTTATAACACTTATAAGTGTGTCCCCATTGGGTACTGAAAAGTTCAACACACACTTGTGGTCTTCATGCTCACTTGAACACTTCAGCCAATTACAGGAAATACATCACGCAAGCAGACAAATGCAAAGACCGCAAGTGTGAGTATTTGGACAAGCCCTATAACTCCTATAACTGCATTTTTATAACACTTATAAGTGTGTCCCCATTGGGTACTGAAAAGTTCAACACACACTTGTGGTCTTCATGCTCACTTGAACACTTCAGCCAATTACAGGAAATACATCACGCAAACAGACAAATGCAAAGACCGCAAGTGTGAGTATTTGGACAACCCCTATAACTCCCACCCATACCACTTGACAAGACTTTCAAAAACAGGAAAAGGTTAAAAAGGTCTCCACAACCAAAACTACTGCTGAGATGTAATTACCTTAAATCAAGTGAGAAAAACAAATGGAAAAATGTATTCGATAAAACAGGACATGATGCAATTCAGGTGTCAAAGTTGTGTCGGGTGTGAAAGGAGCAACACTGCAAGTTTACCGTGCGACACTGGTCAAAGTCTGAGTTAAGAGTCTTCAGCGCCTCCAGAACAATGAGACCAGCGATGACGGCATTAGTGGTGGCTATTGCTGGAATGATGTTTCCTGCCATGGCTAGATGACAAGGAAACATAGTTCAAAAGCCACATTAAAATTCAGAACCAACTTTTTATTAAAACATTTTATTATGAAGTTAAAGCCATGAGTTATAAGGCTATAATACATTAATTTGAAGTTTAATTCTTGGTGAATAAAGCATTAAAAAAAACTTTAAGCAGCCAAAAATGGGACAATTGAAAAAGACACTTATTGTTTTTAAACACCAACTAAAAAGATCATTTTGAATAATTTAAGTCAAGGCAATCACAGCAACAATACAGCCTTACAAACACATCCTTACATTTGACATCAAAGCGGCTTTTCATGTTCATGCTGAAGACGTTCATGCGCAAGTTCGCGGCTGCTGTTACGAAGTCCATGGCTGGAGGATCATCCTGAAAACAGCAGCACAAATAAAGTGAGTTCACACTGAACATCACTTCATTTTTTCTCTACTTTTTTTCAGGATTCTTTGATGAATGGAAAGTACAAAAGAATAGCAATTATTTGAAATAGAAATCATTTTTAACATTAGAAATGTCTTTGTCATTTTAACAATGTGCCTTGCTAAATAAGTATCAATTTAAAATAATTATATAAATTAATTACATTTATAAACATTAGTATACTTTAGTATAAGGCTACGTCCACACGAAGCCAGAGCTTTCCCTATCCGATCTTTTTTTTCCCCTCGTCTCAAGAAATATCTGCGTCCACACGAAACCACGAAACCGACACAAAACGATGTAGTATACATGCCAAACCAGTATGTGGCGCTGTAATTCTGCCACAGAGATACACTAAAAACGGAGAAGAAGACTTGGACTATGCGCATAAACATTGTGCAAGGTATACAAACGAACATGGAACAATACATTAAGTAATCTGTGTTAA